ATTGTTACAGGTGCAGTCTTTTGAAGAACTTCCTAAAGGAGGGTCTGCCTAGATACACTTTGAGCATCCAAGTAATGTGATAAAACAGGCAGATTCAGTGACTAATCTGAGGGGGCAAGAGCTAGGTGAAGAATCTGGCACAAAAGAACCGTGAAGAAACCCTTTCCCAAGGCTGCGGAGTTAGGCTTTGCCAGGCTTAAGGACAGGTGTAAACCCAAACAGGCTTTAGGTAACTCCAATTTGTGTGGCCGAGGAAGGTTCATCAGATGTTTTCTTCTTCCTCCTGAGCTTTCAATAGATTTTTTTTGCAAAAGATGTTTGCAAAGGGATGTTTTATACTGGGGGCAGATATTGAAGTCTAGAAAGAAGGAAATTGCAAGCCTTGCTGTCCGTATCTTACTAAGGTAAATGTTCAAGTTTTTAAGTGCAGTGTTGCTCTTTAGAGAGCAAAATGATGAATTATACTTGATTTTGTATTACGGTGTCTCTCAATGCCTCTCAGGTCTTATAACTGGAAGTAACCCAGACATGGATTGAAAGAGCTGGAGTGTATTACAGATGCTTGTTGTGCTTTTGTATGGCTGCTCTTAAAGTACCTCTTTGATTGAGACCCAAGGACATATTTTTCATAATCCTTGGCAGTAAGCTGTCTTGAAAAAATGCTAATCTTTCCACCTCCTCTCCTAGCTTGTCAAAACTGGCGTGATAGTAACTTACTGTATTCAAGAAGGATAATTTTGTAGCTAAACTCCACGGCTAGAATTCGAAAAGTATGTTTCCATTAGTTCTGCTGGGGAATTCTCACATGGATTTAGGGTAAGCTGTTAAATCTCTTCGCCTGCCCTTTTTTTAATCTGTAGATGCAAGAGACCAGGTTTTTATAATCTCGAGAAGAGCATTGGGCTTCACTTGCAGTGGGAGCTCAGGAGCAACGCTCAGTGCCAATATGATCGTCTCTATCTTGGAAGCCAGGCTGGTTTAAACATGGAACTGTTGCTTTTGTTGTCCTGATTGGCACCTTAACCTCGGGTGACAATGCTATGTTCACAGAGTATATGGAGGAACAGGCACCTTCGCTTCTTGTCATTTCACTATGGCGTTTTGAAGTCTTTTCCTGAAATTGTCATTCCATGGCACTAACCAAATGGAAGATGTTTAAAATCTGAGTGTTACAGATCTGAAGCTTTTGTTCCTCCTTCTGGATAAAAGGGTAAAGTGAAACCATTGCTATGGATTGTTTTAGAGAATTTTAATAATTAGAATTGCATGAGAGCTCAGGCTTCTGAGCTGTCATTTGTCCCATTCCTTTTGCAAGTGCTGGAGATTTTTGGTGGCTTCAAATTTCACAGTTGTCTTAGGTATCTAGTTTAGTCTGCCAGGAGATCTTAAGGAAAACATTATGGGGTCAAATTTTGCAGCCCTGCATGTGTCTGGTGAACTTTCCTGCTTCTGCAAGAAGGATTTGGCCCTGCAGTGGGTCTGTTTGTGCAAATAAGGGCTGAATTATGCTAATGCTATGGGTCCCAAGATACCCAAATATTTTTGTTTTCTGCTATGTCTGTTGGATGCAAAGACTGCAAGTGCTGGATTCTTTCAGGGGAAAAAATGAGAATGTTTGGAAATAGCAGTACTGTGAAAGATACCTGTATATTTCATGAGTCTCCTGCATCTTTCTCTGACACGACAATGTAGCAGGGACTCTGTAAACTTTGAAAAGCCTCTTCATTTGCTGGCAGCGTGTGTTTGTGCAGTATCCTCTCCCGTCTGCACTTATTGTGGACGCTGGTACAGTTTTTTGGCTGTGAATAAAAGACCTGGGAAGGAATGCAGTGCAATGCATCAAACTGCTGAAGCTGTAGCGCTCGGTGTGTTTTTGAGAAGAGCAGCATGAAACAACCGCTTGATTTCGCTTGTGCAAATGAGAAGCCCGTTGTGATGCAGAGCAGGATCCTGCGCAGGCGATCGCGTTTGCCCTGCCGCAAGCGTTCCGACTGAACACTGCGATAATTGCAAGCAGAGCTTGGCATTTTGTGTCTCTATTCTTTTCATCAATATATTTTAACAAGTTCTCATGAGAGTATTAAAACGCGCTGGCTTCAGAGCACGTGGCCTGGCGGGGACGGCTCCGCATGCAGCTGCAGCGGGGTGGCAGCAGCCCTCGGCGTGTCTCATTTCCCGGTGGACTCGGTGACCCAGCGTAACCTTTGGGCTCCCTCGGAAGGCCGGGCTGAGGGAAGCAGGAGCAGGTGACTGATGATGGCTGTCAGTGGGGCCTGCAGACAATATGGGAATCGCTTTAGCAGCCTCGCGCTGCCCCCGCTCGGCTCTTAAATCAACAAATGCAAATCGCCGCCGCCTCATTTGCTCGCGCCGCGGAGGCTGCCCGGGCCGCACGCGCTTTGTTGTGGCGCTGCTTGTTCCGAAAGGCAGCCTCGGCCCCAGGCAGCAGGGAAAATATCAAATGGGACCCGACCCCCACCTTAATGGTTAGCACCGCTAACCTTTGGGCCTCTGGCGTGCACAGGTAGGAAGATACTGCGATGCAAATACTTGTGTTTGTGTCTTGAGGGGGCAATGGGCCGTGCTAAGAGCAGCTTGCATTGTTAGGCTTTGTCTGGTAGCTATTCTCCTGGAAAGGAGCAGGAGTGCCCAGTACAGAGAAACTCATACCTGTTGACGTGAAAACTTGTTTGCTGTTGACATTGCAAGTAGCTGTGTATTTAGCATCAGCAGTTTATTTACTGTGCAAGAATGGGAGTGTGTCTGTTAGGCTTCAGCAGAGGCACAAGGAATTTGTGAATCAATGTTACCTTACAAGCTCAGAATTATTTTATAAAACATAGTTGGGTGGCATGGATAAATCAAAGGGGCAATATTCTACATTGGTATAAGCATAATACAAGGCATAATGCAGAGTATTGTGTTTTTCAGTATACATCTGATATTGTTCTGCTTCCCAGACTGCATCTTAATTGAGTTGTCATTCAGAAATTCAGAGACAGAAGAGTAATGAATGCTATGGCAGCATTTGGTTAAAGTTCTGTGCAGCTTGTGTGAGGCTGTCATATGTGAACGTGAGCTCTGGTATGCAAGAGCAGAAGTGGTCGCTTTCCTCATCCGAAAGCTGCTGTTCCTCCAATACCTAGGGATGCAGCATCCGTGTTTCATGTACTAGGACTGCAACTGGCCATAAAGAACTATTTAAGCATGTTAGATTTGTAACTGAATTGGACAAATCCCAACATATGTAAACAGTCCTGGAGCTTTAAAAATGTGTGCTAGTAGAACTTGTGTGTTGTGTTTTATAAGATGCCTGTTTACAGTGTGTAGTTAATTCAAACTAGGGCATTTTATCTTGCAAGTGCTTTTATCCTTTTCTTTTTGCCTAAGAGTTAACAGTTAGGAAGTAACACTTTTAAAGCAAAATGGTGGGGTGCAAAGGTGAATATCATGCACATAGCCAGGCATTAAAGCTGTTAGTCTTTAAAGCATAGTACTTTCTTTAGTTCTCTTTTCAGATATATCTTTGGGTTTTATTTCATGTTTTGTTTCTTACCAGGAAGCAATACTAATACTTTTTGGAGAAGGCTTGCTTCAAATTCCCCCCAAAATCCAAGAAATTAACTATTTAAAAGCTCCTTTCGTGCTTTACTTTTAGTTTTCAAAGGTGCTTTGGATCAGGCACTGGTGACCTACAATCGAATCCCACTTGAACCTTAATTTCCAGTACTTTTAAGCCATGTCACATTAACTTCATAGTGTTCAAGTTCAGAATGAGTCACTGAGGTTTTTCCTTGCATCAGTGAACTGCAAAGGTTGTGATCCTGATGGTATCATTTAAAGCACCGTCCACTAAAGACTTCAAATGATTTCAAATACATTATGGTTTCTCCCTCCTTTCTCACAGCCCTCCCACCAGTAAGGTTGTTGGCACAAAAAAAAAAAAAAAAAAAAAAAAAAAAAAACCTTTTGACCCTTCGTTTCCCTTTTCTTTAATAGATTCTATGTCTGTCAGATGTCAGGCCAAAGAACCAGAAATGCAGTTCTCTGTACTTGGTCATCGCTTTTAGTCTAGTATGGTGCAGAGCATCTCTTCATGGAGGACATATAGCTCCTGTCTGACCTACTCCTGTAGTTCTAATCAGTCTGCTGCAAAAGGAATCTTTAAAATAAAATCCTTATTACATTAGTGTGAATTGTGTGAAAAATGATTGCTAACTGGGAAATTTTACTCAATAAAATATGATTGCGGCTTGCAGGTTCACATCAGATTATAAGGTAGTCATATCCTCTAGATACTGGATCAATTTTGTATCGGGATGGGAGGAGAACCTCCTGTCAGGGAATCAATGGGAATTCAACAGGGAACCAATTCCATATAAGAATGAATAAATATGATGGTTTTCATCTTATTTATGGAAGTCTTTCCTTCAAATAAAATTTTGAAGTCTGGATGGCTCCAGGTAGAAAATACCAGGCAATAATCATGTGAGCTTTCTCATCAGTTTCTCCCCTTTAGTTGGATGTTTTCTTCACTGCCCCCTTTTTTTTTTTCCTAGTTCCCTAGGTATAGTTTGCCTGTCTTGTATTTGTAGAAGCTGCTCTTATAGAAGGATGTCTATTGTGGGCTATATGTTTTGTAAAGTATTTTGAAGACTGTCTAGATAAATAGCACCTTATAAATATCTTAGTACTAGTAAGATTGAAAATTATGGGAAATATTTATAAGGTGAGTGGATTAATTGTTTTTAATTTATATTTTAATGCATTTTTTTTCTCTGAAGGAAGTCCCTCTAAAACAATGAGTATGAAGAGTTCGCTTCTTGGATTTAATGAAGTTATGTAGTTTCATGCCAGACACTTAAATTCAAAATATCCAAATATATTATTTATTTTAGAATGTAAATTACACATATTTTAAGCCTTTGTTAGAAAAGTTACATTCCATCATTCATTTTGAGGTTTTTCCCCCCTTCCCTTTTGTTTTTGTTTTTCCTCAGTTTCCATTACAAAGAGCAGTGCAAAAATCCAATCTTCCCCTTCCAAAGTGACCCGACGTTCAATGCAGTCTCCACAGAAATCTGCTCCAGTACCGGCGCAACGGGGCAGGAAGCCAGGTCGGGGCAAACCCCCTGGACAGTCTGCAGTTCCCAAGAAGGGCAGGTCTCCTAAAAATATTCCCCTGACAAAAAGCACCTCTCATACTGAGAATCTTAAAACAAGGAAAAAAAGTTTAAAACCTGGAAAAAAGGTTAGTCTTTATCTACTACTTTACTTTATATTGCAGAATTTTGTAGAGAGATTTATTTTTTTCCAATTTTTATCTTCACTTCAGCCTTAAGGGCTTTATTGGATTCAGAAACTGATTACAAAAAAAAGCTCAGGAATAACTGTTCTGGATTATTCATTTCAGTACTAGCTACTGTGTGCATAGCCTAATTCTAGAACAAGGTAACCAATTTAAGTTAATTTATGGGTGAGTTGTTGGGATGGAGAAAAGAAAAAAAACTATTCATGGGAACAGCTATTTTCAATAAAATTTCAAGAATACAGAAGTCGCTAGGCTAATTAGTCTGGGTTATTTTGTTACTGAACCAAATATGTAGTTATCTTAATGTTGTTTCATCTCTTGTGTAGAAGCAGTTAGAGCCGTGGTGAGGGCTTGGGGGGGCAAAATTTAAGCATACAGCTGGATTTGCAGAATCAGTCTCTTGGATGCTCCCTAATCCTGGAGATACTAGTATGCAATAGGAAGCTTCTCAAGGCAGTAGCATCCTTGGGTGTCTGTCTCTGTCCTATTCTGGAAGTGCTGGTGTTTTTCTCCCTTGGGCGCACCACGTGAGAGCCAGGTGCTCCTGCCTGCATGCCCACTGCTGCTTCAGCATGTGCTCACCTCCCTTCCCTGCTCCTGGGACACCGAGCAGGCAGGCAGAGGATCCCAGGGGAGCCTGTGCAGGATGCTGAACTGGTAGCAAATGGACCCAATGTCTCCCCGCTTTTTGTCCACTCCTTCTGCTCAATAAATAACTGAATAAATAAGAGGTAGGACCCAATGTCTCCCCGCTTTTTGTCCGCTCCTGCTCAGTAAATAACTGAATAAATAAGAGGTGCAAATGCTGCTACAAAGAAGGATAAGATCGCAGCAGGACAAATCTAAGCAAGTCTTGTATCACTATGGAAGTACAATCTAACTTTTCTAAGACTTGTTCAGCCCCTGGGGTTCCAGCAGTGCTTCAGGGGGACAGGCCATGTAAAAGGGCAATCCTGCAATATCTCTTGCCAGACAGCTTGTGCCTTGTCCCTGCACTACTCCCTCCTCCGTGCTGTGGGAAGCGTTTGCTGTCGGGTCCTCGTCCCTGCCTCCTGGTTCACTGGGTGGCCTTGGGAATGTTTGTAGTGATGCGTGGGAGGGGATGGACTAATAGCATGAGCGGGACTTCTCCCCTCGGTGACAGTGACGATCCATTTAAAATACTAATGAAGTAACATTCATAGAGCATGCCTTAAAAGCACCAGCACTGACTTTTTCTCTTGTTGGGAATAAGAAACTGCGCAAAGAGCGAGATTCAAGCAGTGGAGGGTGCTGCCACAAAGACTCTGCTGGTGGATGGGTGTTCTTCTTGGTATGAGGGGGGCTGAAGGAGATCATTGATCACGGGACTCTCCTGTCCTGAGGAAGGAGTCAGGAAGGGCAGGGTATGTTTCATATGAGAGTTTTCTTCTATCTTCTGTGCTAAAGAAATTGACAAACTTCAGGTGTCCTTTGAAAGAACAGTTGGAGAGGTTTTGGAGCTCTGAAGTCTCTGTGGTTGGAGCATTGACTTTGGCCCCTCATCATGCTCAGCGTAAACGAGCCTGTCCTGTGTGCGGCTGACTGGGAAGGGGGCTCCTGCCTGTGCTCCCTGTGCTCAAGCAGTGCATCTGGTGCAGTGAAACACACTCCTGATTTCCCCCTGGGAGCCCCTAGGGCTTAGGCTGTGTAGTACCCAAATTCGAGGTAACTTAGAATATTTCTATATTAACTTTCACATGGAAGAAATTAAAATGAGCTACTTTTAAGAATCTGTGGAAGGTTTTTAACTGCTGTTGTGATAAGGTTGGCAACATGTTCTGCATGTGATTTAATGCATACTGACAACTGCCAAGTACAACCTGTGTTCACTCTATAAATGTGCTCACCAGCATGAGTTTGTTACTGCATCTTGACGTACTGTTTGAGCAAAGTTTAGGTTTATATAAGATGGTGATTTCTGTTAATGTTTTGTTTTATGAGAGTCTTTCTCAACAAAATGCATTTAAAAGATGCATTTAAAAGCATGCTTTGCTTTGGACTATTAGAGCTGTTAGTATAGGAGCGAAGACGAAGATTTTATGTGGGAGTTCTGCACATACACACATACATGTGGCACGGAGTGCCTTACTGCCTGTAGGCTCGAATGATATAGATGTTGGAATGTGATTTTATTTTTTTCTGCTTTTCCTTTTATACCAAGTGAGGAGAAAAAAAAAAAAACAGGCTAAGCAATTGTGCAAAAGTGTCAGCTAACTGCATGCTGGTTTGAAACTTGCATATTTAGGGAGATTAGTCTGTGCTAGAAACACTGTAGATTTGTTTGACTTTTTAAATTTTACAATGAAGGAGCAGTCTGGGACTCTGCCTTTTTAACTGTGTTGCACTACAATGTTTATCATTATGCCGGCATTAATTTTAATTATACAGTTAGGAATGTTAAGCTTTTGTGTTATTTTCTCCTTTATCTGAATGTTTCTTATGCTTCTCCTTAAGAGTGACAAGCACGTCAGGTTTCATTTTCCATTCTTCTTTCCCAGTTTGGACTTTGTGGTATTACTGTGACATAATGAGAAAGAAATCTTTACGCTTCTTTCATGACTTTTAAAAGTACGCTTCGATATAACAGTACAGAGAATTCCTTCCAGACCAAGTGGTAACACAGGCTTGCTTGAATAACAGCCTTGGTTTAAGTATGGATGAGAGCCCTAAATTCACCCCCGCAACTACAGGATTTTGCAATATCTTCGTGCAGTGTGTGTCAGCCTTCCCCTTGTGCAGGCACCTCCCTGAGCGGCCGGGGCCAGCGGGCGAAGCTCTGTGCCCAGGTGAATGGGCCTCCTTTCCCGCCTCGGCAGGCGGCACGGCTTCTGGATCGCAGCTGGCTGCTCTGCAGTTTGGGGTTGCAAAATGAGCAGCTTCGCTGAGCAAGCGTAATGTGCTCTCTTTCCTCATTCTGGAGAGCGGGTAGGAAATGACTGACTAGTCTGATCACATTCGTCTGTTGCTTGTGGAAGATAGATAGGTGCCCTGTCTTGTAGGGTAGTATTTGTATTTCATTTCCATGCCTCCCACTCCCTCCCCTCTCCTGGACATTTGACCACCCATGTTTTGCAGCACAATGACAGACTAATAGTCCTCAGGAGAGTAAGTCCCTTCTCCAGAGAGCCCTTCTGGAATGCCAGAGTTAGAATCAAAAGCTCAAGCTTCCAAACGGCACTTTTATTTTCCGTATTAAGGATGAGAAGAGACCTTTCCATTAGCCAAAGCTAAGACGCACTGGCAATCTGTGACAAGCAACACGGCACCGCTCGGTTCAGTATCTGAGCCGGCCGCCTCTGCTCATCACCCTGCAGTGCCAGGCCGTGCCAGGGCAGCCCCTGCGTTCCTGGTGATTCCCCTTAGCACCACATTGTCAGATAGATTCTCTGGCCAAACTTGTCGCCTTTTATCCGTGGGCACAGAAATTTTCTTTTTCAGATTCAGAATCTTTCTCTGATTTCAGGGAAAAAAAAGGTTTGTTCTTTATTGTGGTGAGGTTAAGCACTAACTGCACTTGGGAAGGTGTGTCCTTTTGTTGCCAACAGAATGATTTTTGTAACGTATTATCTAATAAATACACAAATTACAAAGTTTTACAGATTAATACTGCTAAGTGGAAAACACTTGCGTTTTCTTCATTTGATATAAATAGATGGTTCAGCCTCTATCTAAAAGGATAAATGACTACTTTGTTCTACTCACTTGGGTTGAAGTGGAAAAGCAATTCCATCCAGCATTTTCACAAACTCTGCTTGCTTAGACTACTAACACTTTTATCTCTCTCCTTGAAGTTGAACAGGAGCTGGCAGAAAACTAGTTCACCTGATGTAAAAGTTGTCTTCATTAACAAACAACCTTTTTTTTCCCCCAAGTTGACCTATATTATTCCTATTATTCCATGTGTTAAGAGATCTTTTTCTGCTTGCAATTATGTGGACCCATTCCCTGATACGGGGGTATCATCACAGAACAGTTGAGGCTAGAAGGGACCTTCTAGATCATCCAGTCCAAGCCCCATGCTCAAGCAGGGACACCTAGAGCACGGGACTGTGTCCATAGGATTTTTGAATATCTCTGAGGATGGTGTCTCCACAGCCTCTGTCTGGCAACAGCAACTTTGCTCACAGAGCACAGAGTGTTGGGAAGCACTCGTAGTGCAGTTTGAAGAAACGCCAAAGGAACTGGGCTCCCAAATACCACTGCCTGCCTTGAAACTGTTGAGCAAGGGAGTTGGACTAGCTGATCTCTAGAGGTCTCTTCCAACCTCAACCATTCTGTGATTCTGTGAAACTACAGTTTGACTGAATTTTCTCTACACTGTAGATCAATGTGAGAAATAATCCTTACCACACGAGCAGCCAGGTCTGTGCTGCATTCAGCAATGTAAAATCCTTGGATAATCTCTGAAATTTGCAATTTTGGGGGGGATAGATAAATTTCTCTTATTTCCATGTATCTTTATAACACTTCTAAGCCTGTTAGAAATGCCTTCCTTGTACATGTCTCTTTTTGAACGCCTAGTCTAAATCAAATAAGAACAAAGACCTCCCATTATCTCAAGTGGAAGGTAAAGCACACTGACCAATTTATAATTCTCTGGGCTACAGATTCTGCTACCCTGTTGTACGATAGGCTGCAAAGGAGTTTGGTACAGGAAAGGAAAAGTTTTGACAACCAGTGTGATTAGATTACAACTCTACTGATTGTTAGATGTCTTGCGTAAAGCACCAGTTACAGAAAGCAAATGATTATTTGAGAATTCCAGCCTCTTTCTGAAGGAAAATTTAGAAGCTCTGTAAAGCTGACAACTAGATTTGAATCAGGTTTTTTTTATAGGAATAGCTGCTCTGCCCAACTAATTTATTGGAATTGTGATAAACCTAGATGATTGGAAGAGTATAGATAAGAAAATAATTTAAAACACTTTTTCTATGATTCCAGGGCTTAGAAGGATCATTATTTGGTATATAAACCTTTTATTTTCCTCCTGTTCCTTTTTAGATAGAGTTGGGTTCCTTTTTAAGTCCGTTATCTCCCATTGCCTTACTTAAGTAGCTGTAAGTGAACGCTAACAGTTTGTGTTACCCCTTTCCTGGACTTTGTTCTTTGCAGTGTGTAGTACTTTTCTAGTAACCATACATCTTCAGTAGTGCTGTAATTGGTAGTGTTTTTGCAAACTCCTTTAAGAAGAAAAAGAAGAAGAAAAAAATGCAATATCTTGACTTTGGACTTTTTGTTTAAACAGAAAAAAAATCCGCCAGAACAACAGACACCTGCACCACTACCGCCTCTTTCTTCTTCTGATGGGGACAGTAGCACAAAGCAGATGCTAAAAGATGGACTTAGTTTGTCTGGGACAACTGCAGCAGTTATATCCACAGGTAAAAGGAATTAAAAAAGAGCGGGAGGGAAGAAGAATGTACTTTTAGTATGAAATGGCTTCCCCTTTCAAGAATGTCATATTATGGAAAATGTACTGCTAACGTATTATTGTAAGTCATGATTCCACTACCTTATTTTTAAAGGATATTAGTGGGTGCTAGCTGGTATTTTGCTGCTTGCACTGTAGAAAATTTCTGGGACAGTAGGGCTTTTGGTAGTTCTGCTAGACCTGGCATTTTGCTCCTGTCTAAAGGATGTTTTGAATAATTCTTTCTTGTCTGTCTCACTCTTTTATATACGAAATGGCAATAGATTTAGTTAAAAACCCACAGGATGTTTAGGGGTCTTGCAGACCATGTATAATAGTATCTATATCTCTCTATAGCCTTACATTAAAAAAAAAAAAACTCAGATTATTCTAACCCAATAAAGGCAATGAGGAGAAATAAAACTCCCGCTTCCTTCCCTGTTTGTTTTTGAATATAATAAAATGAGTTTGAAAAAGTGTAAGCAAAATAAAATAATCTAGTTAATGAACTAACTCACTGAGGAAACTATAACCATTTAATTAAACAATTTATATTTCAATTGAAATCTCAGAACTATCTGAAATTATGATACTTTTTGACATTTAAAATAGAAGCTGTCTTTTTTGTGTCTATGCCTCTTTTTAGTCTCAACTTCAGTAATGGCTGAGTGAATATATATGTGTTTCCTAGGAAAATAAATCTATCAGAATGCAGTTGTTAATGAGCCAGCCAGAAGATACCATGTAAACTATTTTTGCTGATTTGTAACTGGGATGATTACTATAAATGTTTCCTCCATTTCATAGATATCAGAGAGTGGACAGATATGTGTGAAGATACAACATCATTAAAACATCTTTTAGAAATACATCAGTTTTTTAAATTCACGGGGTTTTTTATTATTATTTATTAAGCCTAAATAATACTATAGTTCCGAAAATATGAGAGCCTTTTATATGTTGAATGGTTAAAATGTTGCCTTAATCACCACTGTGTACTTTTTCATTAAGCCAGAATAAATGTTTTGGATGTGTTCCTGGTCTTAGGGCAGTCAAAGCCAGAAGGAAGCAAGAAAAAAAAATCTTATGTTAGGACAAAAATCTTGCATTTGGCATTGCTATTCCTTTTGAAAGAGAATCTTGTTTAGCCTATGTAGTCTATATAGAAAGCATTTTCCAAAGTTCCATTTTATTGTTTTTGTGATGAGCTTTAATTTGGCATGCACTGTTTCCTTGAGAATTATCTTTATTTTACTTAGCAGAGAAGGCCAGGCTGCGGAGTGGAAATCCTATATATTTTGAGTGGTTTGGGGCTACTGAAGCTGTGGATATCGACCATTATATATGCACACATTAATGCTACATAGATGCTTCAGAATGAGCATCCCTGGCAGGCACAGGCCATAGGGTTGTTGCAGCTCTCAAATATGAGAAAAATAAAGGCAGCAAGTTGGTAAGGCCTGCTTTTAGCATCAGGCCTTTGTAGTTCACCTGTCAGTAATTCTTACTTTACTGGAACTAGTGTGTGAGTGGAACTTAGTCAAAAATGAGAGAAGTGCAGTTACGTGCTTCCTATAAGCACTTTGTTATGGTGGCTGGATAGAAGAGAGCTTTAGAACACAAAGTGGGTTTGGGACTAGATAGGAGAACCTTGATGTAGCTCAGGGAACTTTTTGTTTGCTCAAAAAGTGTGTATGCCTGCCTGCATATGTGTGTTCAGCTTCCTGACTGCAGCAGGATGTCTCTTCACCGGGAGTCAAACTAAAAAAATGGTTCACAGTTCTAACTTGTGAAAAAGTTTCAGTTCCTTCATGTGCACCAACTGCGATTTAAGTAGAAAAACTCAGCAGTAAATACGGCTTGTTCTTTTTCAGTGTGTGTGTATGTCAACAAGCATGGGAACTCTGGGCCTCATCTGGATAAGATGCAGCAGGCTGTACAGGCTTGTGTGGATTGTGCCTATCAATCCAAAACAGTGTTTGGATTTCTGAAATCCGGCCATCATGGAGGGGAAATGATAACTGGTATGCAAAGTTGTTTTGCTTTTTTCCTTTTTTTTTCACTTAGTTGTTGAATTGTGGTAAGGCCCAAGAGTTGAAATAGTTGCAATGGTTTTGTATTACTTTTGTAACTCTTTAAGAACAGTCAAGAATGCATTCTTATGACTTACTTTGCTAAGTGAGTATTGATGGTGCTTAATTTATTTCAGTGTGGAGACAGAATGATTTGAACTATTTTTTAGATTAAAAATTCAACTCCAGCAATTCAAAGTTACATATACTCAGCACTATTGGATCCTTTTTGCTAAGGAGGGCTTGTGCACCTCCTTTAACAGCTGTAGCCAAGCATTTGTCAAGTAAATTCAGTGCAAGTCAAATATCAGCTTTATTAATTAAAGTCATTCGCATAATCTTATCCATACCTAGTGTTTGTGTTCTTAATGCCTTAACTGGGTGAAAAGTTTCAACCTAATCCATTTAGTTTCCAGGCAAATTATTCCATATGTTAAAAATTGCTGCTTCTTCCCTTTCCCCTTCCCCAGAATATTAGCAGTGTCTTAGGTCACTGGTCATCCACCTATGTCCTCCCTTATTGGAATAGCTTTATTTCTGTTGCGAATTAATGACGGGTCTACAGATAAACTATCCCTATATCTCAAACTGAATAGCTGCTACTTGGCTTTTTTTTTTTTTCCCTTCTAGGAAATATTCCATATAACTGTTAGTACATCAATTCATAATTCCATCAGTGGCAGTAAAAAGACTTTCTGTTACATAAATCTCTTTGCATTAATGCTAGATGTGATAGATAATTCATGGACTACAGGTTTTATTAAATCTTCATTCCTGTCTAACAATATTTTAAACACAGCATCCTTACCTGCATGTACGAGGACTTCAGTCATCCTTGCTTATGCCTCTTCCTGAGTTTGCTCACAAAGTGGAAGTTTCTTCTCTACTGTAGAGTAAACATTTAACGACACTGTGTGGTTTTGAAATCCATATTACTTTATTTTTGCAAGATACATGAAAAAATATTATTAATAATATCCTGCTCTACCTATTTTAGACTAATCACTTGAACAAATCCCATCTGAGATGTGCACTGCCAGTATTCTGTTGGTGATCATTTAACATGAGGGACTAAATGCTAGACTGGTGGCCTATCCACCACTATGACCGACTGAAAGCAAGTATTTCACAGAGGAGATATTTTGAGATTTCTTTTTAATTCTGATTTGTTTAGATTTTAAAATGATATATGAAAGTGAATGGCAATTCTGCATTACACAACCTGGATTTAGAGAAGTCTGCTCAGTAGCTCCAAATTTGAGAAACTTGCCTACATAGTGCTCCTGAAGCTGGGTCTTGTAGATCATCAGATTTTAGAAAGCTGCAAGACATTTTATCTTTTTTTTTTTCTGAAATATTTTTAGAGTCACAAAATGTGAACTAGGTTAGTGCTGCACGTTACAACCAGCTGTATGTGTGAAAAGTAAGGGAGAAGGGGAAATATACAATAGAATAAAATGAAGAATTACAGAATAAAGTAGAGCTTTTTCCTTGAAAATGATTTTGGTGCATTTTGAGAAACTAAAAAACAGTTTATTTGTGTTGCAGCAGAGAATAAGCAAAGGTCTGTCTTGTGGAATCATGAACTTTCCTATCTGCCATGGGAAGCAACTGTGTGCTGATGAGGACTTGGATAAAATAATCTTGCAAGAATATGTGTGAATAATTAGAGGGTTCTTTTGGTTCAGCTGCCAAAGAAAATAATTGTTTTGAACAGAACTAAATTTAGGATTTTTTTCATCTTTTCTTACTCAAACAAAAGCACAAACTGTTTTAGTTTTGCATGATGCATAAGGTTTCAATTCAAGCAAATGTAATTGAAAGGAAATTAAAGACTTGATTAACAAGGCCAGTAATGGTGGTGGTGTCAGGCTCTCTTCTCCTTTTAGCTCACAGCTCATAGACTGTGGCATTTGGTGGGGTGAAATAGACTGTGGTTCAGATTAAATCTTGAGAAGATTTAAATCAGACTCATGGGTGAATTTCCTCACTAACAGTCACAAACATTGAGTTCAGGTCCCCTCAGCCTTTCTGCTGGCTCAAACCTTCTCTTTAAAACACACTTACGGTAAAGAATTAAGAATGGCCCCTCCTTCTAGGGGCTGGCGTGCAAATAAGATCTAGTACCTGTGTATTTGTCATTAAAGGCTGGGCTGAGTGCACTTAAGAAATACCCCTTTTTATGTTTTCCCCTAGCGTTTATCTGGAGAGTGAGGGGCCTAGGTCCTCTGCAGGCAGGACCTGTGGATCGGGATCCTCTGCCCTCAGTGGAGGGTGGCAGGGCTGCCCTCAGGTGTTCAGGGCTACAAGGGAGCTGTGCATGCACTGGATACTTACGTGTGCACGTTTCCCATAGTATGTAATGCTGGAAAAATCAGATTGCCCCAGTTATGTCTTGCTGTACCCACCTGGAAACTCTAAGATAATATTGTTCTTTTCAGCACTTCTTTTTGAAATGAAAAGTAAGGCACAGAGAGTAAGTAAATTCCCCAAGGTCATATGCGAAGACCCATGAGGCTATTATAAAGCATTTTACATTTTTGCTGTAGCTGACAGTACTGCCTCACAGTAAATTTGTCAGGAGATTAGACTGCGTTCAGCCTCGCAGCCTGGTTGCTCTCTGTAGCTGGTTGACTTCCAAGGAAAAACATGCCTTCCAAAATCCCTTCTCAATCCCCCTTGCCCAAACAGGAAGTAGGGGACTCTGTGTCTGAGCCACATGTGGGACTGTGAATCATAAGGATTTCATTTGAGCACACTAGAGTCTGGATAAACCAAACAGGCTGTGGAAAAAAGAGCTTCCAGGATTTGCCCCTGTCGTACTGTTTTGCAACTTCAAGCACTTGCATGGGCCCATTCCAACAGGGAGGCAAGGGAGAGAGAGAGGTGATTCGCTTCGTTTGTAAAACAACGTAGAAAGTTCCTTAATTCAGCTTCTGTGACTACAGGCTTTCTTATCACTTCTCGGTTTTGGAAATGCACGTGCCACCAACAAAATGTTGATCCTTTAAAACTCTCCTGCTGCTGGGAATCTAGTGTTCACAGCACTAACTGGCTTGGTAGGCTAAAAAATCAGGAAGAGAAAGCGATACATAACGGGGTGTTTAAGCTGCTGCTTTCTAATTCTAAGCTCTAGTTACAAGTTTAACTGCTTTGTTGTAATGTCTTTCTAAACAGAAATAACTAATATTTTCACCTAAAGTAATGGTAATTATTTACCTCTTTGCTGGTATGGGCAATATTAAATCTTTCCAAAATCCTAAGAATTATCACTAAAAAAAGGAAAATGTCCTTGACCATACCAGTCTGACTTTTGTGGAGGTCAAGGAAGGTGACCAGCAATTAAGGGTGCAGGCCTATGTCCATTCTCTTTGGAATCAGTCAGCTTAACAGGCACTGAGTGTCCGCTGCCCAGCTCCCGGTGAAAGGAATGGGGAATTGAGCAGCGGGGCATTGACAATAGGGTCGATTTCTCCAAGGGTAAAATAGCAAATGGCTATCAGTTTCTGCCACCAGAATTTTAACGGTAATAGATGCCAGCACACCACCACAAGTATGCGCAGTTCAATTAGAAACTGCAAAAAAAGACATATTAAACTCTTGTTTACTTGCTTGCTTTTAAACAGATATTGCAAAGAGTCTTTTTTGTGTTATTTCCTGCGTTTTTTGGGGTGTGTGTGTGTTTTTTTTTTTTTCCCCTCCTGTTTTATAAGCTAGTAACAAAATACACATAAGGTTTTGATGATGAGGTAATAGTTACAAGTTTTGTTGTGCTGGGGTAAATCCAAACCTATTTTATTGAAGTAAGTTTTCACAGAGCAAATATAAACTGGCAGGGACCTACCATGTTAGAATCAGCCCTGCGGATGCAAATTTGCTGAGCTCCAGAACGAGCATTTACTCTTCTCTTGTCTCTTGCACAGTGTAAGTCAGAGATGGATGTTTTCTCCTGTAGTTAATGATGGTGTTTTACTATACTTCATGATGCTTGGGGGTGTTTGACATCATCTCCTTATTCACAGCTTCCTTTGATGGGGAGAAACATGCCATCAATCTTCCCGCTGTAAACAGTGCATCGTTCGTCCTTCGCTTCTTGGAGAAGCTCTGCCACAGCCTGCAGTGTGATAATCTCTTTAGCAGCCAACCTTTCAGCCCTTACATGGGATGTGCACACAGCCCTACGGAATACGATAGGAACAAACCAGGTATTGTTAAACAGCGGTTATTTTCGAGTACCAGCATCTTGGAGGAGTTGGTGACTTTCTGAAATTTAGCTTTCTAATCTTTCTTTAGCTTGAATTGATTGAAATGAATCCTTTTTCAATTCTTAGTGAATTAGTTCCAGTGCGGTAGTGCTTTGATAGAATGGGATAGTTCATACCACATGTGCAGAAATCACTTTGTTCAGCCAACTTTCTTGCAGTCCCATCAGGAAACATGTGTATTGTACCACTGGGATACTACTAAAAGAACAAGCTCAAAACGTCACATTTCATCTTTTCAATTTATGTTCTGATCGTAAAATAAATGTACAAAAGGATACTTACTGCCTTGTAAGAAGCCTCTTGCCCTGAAAGGTAATTCAGTTCAACCCCTCTCATATGAGTAAAAGATGCTTTCTTCCCTCTATATTCATCTTGCTCATTGACGGCTCCAAGACTTTTCCACATTCAACTATGGACCGTCTAGTCCTTTAATGGGGAAGCTGGGATTTTTCGCAGCGCCTGCTTGTGATATTTTGCATGAGGCCAGTATCTTTGTCTGCTACACAGAGAGGATCAAGGGAGGAGGGAAAGCAGCTTGCCCAACACCTCCCATCAGGTCATCTGCAGAGCTTAGTGTTTCACATCTCAGCCCATGGGTTACCAGGAGCTGTAACTGAGAAGCCCTTGATGTCAGTGCAATTTCAGAAGATTCATATTGTGTATCAAACTCCTCATAGCCATCGTAGAACTGAGTCTGTCTTCCAGGTGTTGCTTTAGAAAATACTTATTTTTCCCATTCTGATAATCATATGGAAGCCTGTAATTTTATCCCTTTTCATAAAATGGATAGGATCAAGGTAATTCGAATCATAGAGCAGCTAAGCTCTTCTTCATTTTTGAAAGTTTGCATCAAAATGATTGTCTGGATGACTCAAACTGAATTGTAATCTGGTGAATGCCTGTGGTTATGTCTTCGTTTTTGTCCCTTGACTTCTCCCATAAGTATTTTTTATGTTAGAATAATAGCTGGTGACTTTCCTCTTCACAGCAAAAGAAGAAATATCTGAAAACAGAGGTGCTAAACGATATTCTCAGGACTCTCCACCATATACTGCCCCTCTTTCCCCTAAGCTTCCCAGAAATGATGCTCATCCATCTGAAGGTAATTACATTGTGTTTGGACTATATATGATGATTATTTATGATTTCAGTCTTCCTAGCAAAAAAAAAAAAAAAAGAAACACAGACAAGTACAACAACTACAACTTGTGTCTACTTTGTCTCCAGCCTTTGACGTGTCAGGATGAGAGAGTGTTAATTATTGGTGAGTGGCGCAAATATTGCACTTAAGGAAGATGTATTGCAGCTTCCAGAAGTCTTTCCCCTAAACATGCTGGCCCTTTTTATGAAGGGGCTCAGGCAGATGGGTGATGGATAAAGCCTCCTGCTTCATATATGGTAATTTAGTAAAAAGCCAATTGCCTTAAAATGGGTTAGAAAATAAATTAGAAGCAACTCCTAATAACTCTGGCCTGGGGCCAGCAAGTGAGTAAGGGTATCGCTCCATCAGGCTGAGCTTAAGGCTTAGCTGCCCATGAAGGCTGAGCTGGCCCTGCTTTCCTCCTTCTTGGGCTTGCAGGGCTCCTGCTCCTGTGCTGGGGTGTCAGCTGGAGCAGGGAGCCAGGGCACGGAGGAACATTTGGTCCAGCAAGCAGTCCTTTGCAGTGCAGCTCTCTGGAGCGACTCGCTGTGGTGTCAGGTGAGCACAGGGAACCTGACCCCCCTGTGGCAGGCAGCTGCTGGATCGCTGCAGCTCGCCAGTGAACAGCACTTTTGCCTGCACAGCAGCCTGGCTGCAGCAGCTGAGCATGCCGCTGCTTCTGGTCCCTCTCAGACGTGAAGCATGTTTGTTTAAACCTCAGCAGAAGAGACTTAGGCAAGTGTACTCTGCATTCACTGTGTAATTCTTTAAACCTTAGCAACTTCCCAGTTTCGACTCATCCTGACTTTCTCTTGTTGTGATATAGCTGCACAGAATTTCCAAAAGCTTTTTTGAAGTGTCACAGTGATTAGCTCTTTGTTCCATGATACTGTTTTTGTTTGTTTTGGAGATCTTCAGGTTATTTTATGTGTATTGGCATCTGTGGAGGCAGAAAGATCTCTTTCTCTGTGCAGTTTAAAACTCACAGGACTAGAGTTAAAACTATCATTTTGAACATTTTAACCGGATATCCTCCTCTTTATTTAAAATGGTGTGAATTGTTCTTTTATGTAAATGTAGCTTATTCTACATTTATAATACATAAGAGGTAATGCACAGAAGGAGGCAACAGAAATTAATAATAAATGCACAACTGTTGCCTAGAGAAATATTGTTTAAGTGTATCAGACGTCTGTTGAATTGTCACATATTTCTGCTGTGTAACTTGGTGAAAATTACTGAGATGAGCAAAGCAATTATTTGAGATAGAACTCCATTATCTTGCAAGAAATCTCCCTTAAAGCAAACATGTAAACATATACTGCTTTTTAATGCTTGTTGAGTAGGTTGGTGCTGAATCTCCTGTACAGATTAAATTGATGTATTCCTTAAAATATATTTGAAATCAGTTCATTATAAGGTGCAGTTATCTGAGCTTAGAAGCAATATAAATAAGCAAATGCTTTGTCATGTTTTCAGAGGTTTGAGTTTGTACCCTGCATTTCAAGAGGCAAGATATTCTCGAGTGTTGTGTGTTTTCCATTAGAGCAATGTCCTCTGCTGAAAATCTGGAGGTAATTTCATAGCGGTCAGTCATGGGTTGGTTAGCAAGAAAGATCTGCCCTAAAAAAAATCTGGCTCCTTTGAGACATAGTTGTCTTGAAATAGTTGTTTTGAAATATAATTTGAAGACAAAATGGAATAATTGTGGGAAAGGGTCTTTCAAACAGCTCTTTCTCCTGATCTGCTCAGGGATATGTTTTGCAGGTTTTTGCCACCTTTTCTGCTCTCTAACAGTTTCCCCTTGAAGCTGTGAAAGGTGAAGGTGGGGAGGGGGATAATAATCTCTCCCTGGAAACAAGGTGCTCTTACTACAACAGCCAGTCACGTCACCCGCTTACATATGAAGCAGAACGTCGGACTTCTGAGTCCCAAAGGAGCTTCCAGAAATTTGAAAGCCTTTGCAGGATTTGGACGTCTTGTGTTAAAAAGCCTGCTGCCATCTTTACGTTTAAACTGTGAGGTCTTTTGTAGGTGTTTTATTAATCTGCCCGGAGATCAGGTATTCTGTAATGGAACCTCCAGTGACACATGAGAAACCCAGTTCTCTTCCCATACAGTGGTTGTTCACTACTGCTCAGAACGATGAGGTAGAAAACTTTAGTTATTCACTGCCCTCTTGACTGCCAAGCTGTGCCAGACAGCAGTGTTGGATCAGCAGTCACACCAGATGAGCATTTTTTCAACAAGATTGCAGCTGTTTCTTTGGGTGTTTATTATTATTATTATAGGGAACCTAGATGGATGGAAAGGGAGTAGATGTGACTGTATAGCTGTTGGACAGAAACACCTCTAAAAGCTATGATGGCCCAGCCAACTTTCCCATATTGTGTATGTGAACTGAGGACTGACATTAAGATTAATTCGAACACTAGCATCTTAGAAGAAGAAAAAAAAAAAAGAATCGATCTCATCCCAGCCCTTTTCAGTACTGTTAAATGTAAGATATATAACATCATAGAGAAATCTAGGATTGGATTAGAATAAACACAGTTAGATTCTTATGTAATATAGCCAGTTTTTAAAATCTTTAAAAAATCTGCAAAAATCTGTTTTCTCCTGCTAGGGCTATCTACTTGATTGCTATAAAAAAGGTTCATTGTTAAGACATTGGTGTTGGGTGAAACATGTTTGAATATTCTAGTGGAAACTTCCTGTTGGGCAATATTGTGTCCATTAATTCATTCTGCATTCCAAACCTTTTGAGCTTTGTCCAGCTTTGCATAACCATTTAAAACATTACCTCTGCTTTTGGTCTTCTGCACTGCTGTGGAATGATTGCTTTGTTTTCATTTCGGCAAGTTGCTGCTACTACTTCAAGCTGACAAGTGTGAAGAGGTTTAATGTTTTCTTTGAAAACCTCAGTAGACACTTTTTTTGCTTCAGATCTGATAAACCAGGAAGTGGTTGTTTTGGCTCTTATTAAACAAAGTGTTTGGATATTTTGGGGCAAAATGGGGCTCTCCTGAGAAGAGAAATAGTAAATACTGTTTTAGCTCTCTTGTTCTTTTCCCTGCGTGTAGCTGTTAGGGTGTTAGGTAGAATACTGAATCAAAGAAGGGCCTGTGTTCTTAAAAGCTGCTTTACTGCACAGCTGTCTAGTCTAATGAAGGGTATTACATCTTCTTGCAGTTCTGCCTTTCTGAGTTCACTAAGGGGATATTTCTCTGAGTATTTTATTTCCCTTCAGGATTATGTTGTCTGAAGACCGTAACTGCAAAATACACTTAACAATTGCTCGCTAAACTCACGAAGCAAGTTAAAGAAGTCCTTGAGAAGCTTGCAAGCTTTTTTAAGGAAAATACTCTTCCTTAAGTTTTATTTGCAGTATTTGTCCCCCAAATAATTCAAAGTCGCAACAGAACAAGGAGAGTAAAACTTATTTCAGAGCCTGGTTTCACAGAGTATACCAGTTCTTACCCAGAAGAGCAGACTGCCTCACTTTTGTGTGCTTTATAATTTGCCTAAGTAATTTTCAAGATCACGGTGGTGGAGTTTGCACCTCTGTGGACCTGTTAGCTACGTTTTCCAGTTCTTCACTCCGGTGGCAACGAAACATTTATTTCTTTTAGATTCATACCTGGTGCTTCCAGCTTCTTTCCCGTGCTGGATACTGGGCTAGTGCAATGGAGAAGGAGGCATGGAATTGTTAGAGACTGGAGGGGTGTTCACTCATTCACCCACTTCGCCCCCATCTAGGCTGTTGCTCCCTATCAGGCTTAAATTGGGGTAGATAAGAATGGAAATTTTTAGTAATCAAACAGACCCACTCCCGTCCTGGGATAGAGAGAAAGGAACCAACTGAGCTCCCTTCAGCTGGTTTAGGAGTAGTTTTAACAGAACTTCTAAGCAGAGGTTGTTTGTGTTTTCAAGAGTAGAAAATAGCAGATAACAGAGATAGAAGATTTCCTTTCCTGAGGAAAAATTTCAACTTTTTTTTTTTTTTTTTTTTTGCACAGTGGGTTCACTTGTTGACATTTATCTTTAGTTTAGCTTTGCACAAACCAGTGTGCACAGACATTTTGTTATACCCTCAGCAAAAAACTAACTGTGTGTCAGCATTGTGGTCAGGATGTGTTCATATTAGTCTACCTGTACATGGGATTCAGAGCTTTCTGCAACTTTTGCATATAACCTCTTTTATTTTCAATGGCAGCCACTGTGTCTGAATGTATTGTGATCTGTAAAGGACAATTGACCACTCATTTTGCTTTTGGAATTAATGGTTGTCTCTCTTGTTGAGAACAAACTGATTTGCTTTTGGAATTAATGGTTGTCTCTGAGAACAAACTGGAGAACTGGTAGCACAAGAACTTTTCTTAGAAACTTATTGCAAGGTAAACACAATTGTAGTGATTATCTCATTAATGATTTTGAGAACACGTTTGAAAAAAGATGATGAGAATGCTGACCAAGCTTGCATATGTGTAAAAATTAACATTGGACATTTTTACAAAGCAGATTTTTACTGTGTTCCTTTCCTGGTTGTCTTGCAAACATGACTGAAATGATTTCTGAAAGCCTGTCTCAAATATGACCTGTTCATTTTTTCTATTGTAAATATACCAAGAACCTGGTGATTACTTGAAGAAAAGGGCAAAGGCTCTGTAGTTGTGCTTGCTTCACAGATTTGTTGACAGGCTTAGAATCTGCCCTTAACTGGCAGAGAGCACAGGCTGGAATTACATAACAAGGTTACCAAGTCCAGCACTTCCAACAGATCACTGTTTGTTTTTATGTAGCAGAGACGTTACCTATAGAAGAAAACAGCACTTCCAAAGAACACCGGTTTTCTGAGGACTCTATGGATTCTGCCCTGAATTCGGTAAATCCTTCAAGCCCAGCGCGCCGAAACTCCACGGAATACCGTGCGGCAGGGAGCGCGCCGCACTACAGGAGCTCCCTTCAGCCGGGCACTGCTACCTCGCGCTCGTTCCCTGCCCTCCGCCGGCTCTCCCTGAGCTCTGCTGGGAACTGCAGTTACTACGAAGTTAGCAGGAGCCGCATGCAGAGGCGGATTGAAGGTACGCTGCATGCCTCAACTTTCCTGAGAATGTAGCTGCTTTCATTAATGCTCAGAATCCAAGAGTTAACGCATAAAGAAGTACTTTGCCGTAGAAAAGCTGGCAGATGGAGTGAAATGCTCTGCTGTTGCCAAACACGTCAAGCCTGCTAACGTAGCTTCCAATACAGAATTTAAGCTTATTAAAACTAGTACTGCTGTGGAAACCAGAGGGATTTTGCCTGCTGCACTTTCCTCTCACTGCTGTTACAGACCCTGCAACAGACCCTACTGGGGAGTGCTAGTTATGCAGCTCTCCTCTTGAGCATCTTACCCACTCCTACTGTGTTACTGAAGTACGGGGATAGGGTTTCTTCCTGTCCCTTAAGCCTGTGCAGTTTAGCATGCCTTTGCCACATTCCCCATTACTGGGACCTGCGAACCAAATATTAAACTAATCCCTCTAGTTATGACATAATGCTAATGCTTATGCTGCTGAAAATAGGAGCAGTTATATAAGGCATTTAAAGACAAACAAAAATGTAATTTGGAAGAAAATAAAAGCATCTTTCGTGTTAATATATTGCAAAAGAGTGAACAAAAGTCTGTTCTTAGTATTAAGACTGTCTTTAGTTAGTTAGTAAGACTGTCTGTTGTTAAGACTGTAAAATGAAATGTGTTATCCCTGTATAGACTAGTGATACTTCTTCCTTTCACAATATTTTTCATGCTGTAAGCTGCAAGTTCTACCACTGGACCAGATCTGAACGCACTAAAGAGAGAACCTTCAAGAATATTGAATAAGGATCCTTCGGCCTGGTCAATAGAGGAAGTAATGCGCTTTGTGAAAGAAGCTGATCCACAGGCACTAGCTCCACATGCAGAGCTCTTTAGGAGACATGTATGATGCATATCCATTCTTTCTTGTAGATTTTGCATACCACAGTAATTGTTAGAATACACTTTTCATGTCTATCACTGTGTTTGCAATTAAAGGCAGAACAGATTCTACCCATTTGTATGTTAGACAGAGGCTGATTTTTTTTTTTATCCGAACTCCTACTGTGGTGTGTATTCTCTGTGTTCCAGCCTTGTTAGACTAAAATAAATTGATGTTGCTTTCCAGTTTATATAGAGAAATACTGGAATTCCATATTCTGATGGCCAATGCAAGTCCCTAGTGCCCCTGAAGAAAGTACAGTGCAGTCTATGCAGTATGGGCTACATAGTGGATGTCTGCTCTCTAAGACAGTCTCTTTGTAGACTGATTATCCCAGACTAGGCAAGCTGTCGGGCCTTTTAAGCTTTGCACTTTATCATTAACTGTAAAACTCGGAGGATCTTTTAAAAAGTCTGTCTGTTTTAATAATATGCAACATCTCATGGGATCTAACTTGATCCTGCATTTAGAGAAACTTTGTCAGTTTTTGGTTTTAGTTTCTCCCTTCCCACTGTGCTTCTCTGGCAGACTGCTCAGCTTTGTTGTTTCTTCATAGATGATGAAATTAACCCTCCCCAAAAGAGGATGACTTCTCCCTAGCAGATCCTGTTGCCAGGCTGTTTATCGATCTGTGTCTTGTGTATGATCTTTTCCTGACATCAAAGGCATTTATTTCATCCTTGTTCTGCACCAGCTTTTACTAACAGTTGCATTGCAGAGTATGCTAGATTTGAAGGGGAAAATTTCAAAATAAGTTTTAACAGGACTTCCTGTCTAATGTCTTAGTTGTATAACAAGACTAAACATCACTTGTTTTGTTAGATCTATGTTTTGTTTGTTTTTTGAGTGATTTTATTTGTGCTACTTTAGAGAACTAACTACTTGTCTACAATATGTAATGCTGACAAGAGCTTAGGCTGTTTCAACAGGCTGTTGAAACTTGACTAAGTTGTCCTCGGTCTTGATCCTAACAATGTCTGGTTTAACCTGAGCATAGATCTATCTTGTTTCACAGATTTAGGTGGTCAGTAACCTCTTCCTCCATGTGACTGTTTGCATGAGTGTGCCAGAATCCTCCCACAGCTGTGTTCAAGGTTCACTGCAAGGCCTCCGTGCTTGGATCATTTAGTCTCTGACTGCATGGGCCTTTTTTTTCCACCTCTTTTTCCTTGACCCATTCACTTTTGTTTCACTTGGTACCTAATTCCGAAGGCTATTTTTTCTTTTTTTTCTTTTTTTTTTTTTTTAACGTATTATAGCGTGTTTTTTATTATCTCAAATACCTAACTCATACATTAAAAATACTTTGGTCTTCAGTAAAATCAGATTGTACTAAATTACTGCTTTAATTTTGCTGCTTCCTATAGTATAGATAAAGACGATGTACTCTTCAGTTTCATCATGAACCTTGTTAAAGCAGTTGTGTGTTGTTTTGTTTATTCTCTTCCTTCTGCAGGAAATTGATGGGAAGGCACTACTGCTACTGAGGAGTGATATGATAATGAAATATATGGGACTGAAGCTGGGGCCTGCACTAAAGCTGTGCTACCACATTGAAAGACTTAAGCAAGGAAAGTACTAGCTAACAGGGATACCACAACGTGTGTTCGTGTCACACTAATCTCTCAGGTTCATAGTCATTTTCTTTATTTTAAAATGTTTTGCTGCCATAAACCATCTTTAGTTTTTGGAAGTTCTCTAAAATTGCAATAAAACGTTCAGCATAAAGAGCTGAAAAACAGAAAAGTCTGTAGTACATTTGGTACCTGTTTCATTCCTTCTGCAAGGAGGGACAGTTAGTTATACTGTGTTTGGATTTTTGTTGTTGTTGTTGAAAACAGTGAACTCAGTGCTGCTCTTGTCACCAAATTCTGAAAAGTGCATTCTCTATTACAGATTTCAGCCTACACTTTTATACTCAGGACCAAAAGAGCTGAATCCCAAAGGGAAAAAAAATAAAAAAAGATCATCAGGTGTTGATAACTTTCAGGGATGGCTGTAATTTTTTACATTACAAGACAAAAATAAAATATGTGATCTAATTTTTTAGTTAATACTGTATCTGGTCTTCCAGGAGAGTAATTCTCAGCTAGGTTATTCTTCATAGGTTTCCATAAAGGGAATAGCAATATGAATTGTTCTTGGGTGAGGGACGTATGAGGAAAGAAGGGCTGTGCAGGAAAGGGCTTAATTCAAGTACAGGCTTTTATAAAGTGTGATTATCAGCCCTTCATTAAGTTATGAGGACAAGTGCACAGGATATTGTCAATTTATGGAGGCAATATTCCTGTTGTATTGAGAAGGGCATTTGGGCTGCTTAAACAGCCAATTCTGGGACAAACATATTTGTCTGGATGAGCACATGCGCGTTTTAAACATTCCATCTTTTGCCAAGTTTGGCATGGACATGTATGTTCATGCTGGTTATATATACATGTGTATGTGTTGGGAAAATACGTACTCTATATATATATATGAGAAAATGCATACACACTGTACATATGTATTCATTTTTAATGTGTTTTAAGGTACTTTGCACTGCACCAGTTAGAACTGTACAATTGCTTGTTTACCAGTAAATTTAGTCATACTCCTTTCATATTCCTTAACACCCGTTAAATGTGTTGTCCATCCCTGGAGTGGGAAGGGGAGCACAGCCAGTGGGTGGATGGATGGATGCATTCGTGTGGGCGAGAGCCCTGTGCTGTGCAATGCTCCTGGCTGCTCATCACTGAACTCTGAGCCATGTGTTCTGGTGTCTTTCTGGAGATGCACGTTTGATTCTGATGTTTTGGGCTTAGCTTTCCCGTGAGGCAGTGTTACTGTGTAACTGGTAAGTGGTTGTGAGGGGAAATTTGGTGCTGTTTGTGCAAGCTACAAGAATGAGTGGTGATAATAAGCCGGTTTGTTCTCGCTGCCAGTGGTAACATACATCAGGGACAAGAAAGTATCCTTTCTGTAGGACTGAATGTACTGTGTGTAATAGTGCAAGTCATAAAAACTGTTTGCTAGGGAAAGTGTAGTGCTAAAATGGTAGGTTTTATTATATTTCTTATTGCCTTTTTATATGAAATATAGTAAAAAATGTATTTTTTTGCAATTTTCTTGTTCAAAAATGCCTTGCTTTGCCAAGAGTCTGATGTTTCTCAGGTTTCAGCAGAGATGCTGCTGAATGCTGCATGTTGTGACTCACAAGTGTTCAGGTATGTTTTGAGTTTGCGTGACTGCAATACAATTTTAATTCAGCAGGTCATTGGGACTTTGAGGATTGTTTTTGTTACTCTATCATTAGACATTTGACACTAAAGGTTATCTGCATTGATTTGTTATGCATATCTTTTGTGGTGCATGTATGCTTAGATGAATAATACAAATGCAATCTTTATAGAAAGAAAAGGTCAGCGCCCTGACTGGAGAAAATGTGATTTTTCTGTGTGGTGAGTGTTGGTCTAACAACACGAAAGCATCATTCCCTGGGTGTTCACCATGTTGCTTATACTTCCATGCTTTACTATGCAGAATTTCAGGAAATTTTAGTATAAAAAAGGAAGACCAGTTGTACTGTTTATCTGAATGTAATTGACTTAAAAGTGTGGAGTTTTCTTGTTTGCTTGTTTTTAGCTTGTCGTATAATTGCCATAAGAGAAACAAAGATGTTTAAATTTTCTGTTGGGGAATTATGAAATGAACTGTGTGTACATGGCAGTGTTAAGGGTAGAAATCCCTGTTCAGGGCTTTGTGGGAGCCTGCGGGCATCAGGTCTACTGTGATGTTGCAGTGCCAGAACTTCATCCTGTGCCACAGTATGAGATTCAAGCCTGCAAACAGTTGTAGCAGAATATATTCTGAATTGCTTATTTTCAATGGGATGATCTTATCTATCAACAAAAATAAAACAGTTTGTTCATTGTTGTAACTGTCCGATGTGTTGACGTGTATGTATGGGGAGCACCGTTCGTGTAGGCAAGGGCTGCTGTCTTATCTGGCAGCTCCTGGCAGTTCATGCAAACATCTGAGGTAAGGAAGGTTTAATCCATAGCACAAAATAATTCCAGCAATGTTTATCTAATGCAATTAATATTGGAACTTGGGTGGTCTGTGCTTTTAAAATAACAATTTAGAAGTGTATTCAGATATGTAGCTTTCCATAGAGCTTTTATGTATATAGCCTCTTCTGGTTTACAGCCTTCCCTTGTAATCGGTAAGGGAGAAGAGACCACTAAAAACTATGATTTTCCACTACTTGTATTTTCTATACAAAAACTGAAAATTCAGTAGAGTACCTTTCTTTTTTTTCATGATAATTTGGTATTTGACTTGATTTAAATACGGTTCAGAACTGGCGTGTCAGAACTGGTTACATCTTAGCAGAACATAGTTGTAGATTTATGCTTGAATTTCAATCTTTCTCATTAGATTGCAGCAGATAGGCTGTAACTTGTAAGTAGAACTTAAAGCATTTTCATTTCTGCTCGTAGTGCCCTTTCTTTCAGCTGCTGCTGCATTTTGGCTGTGGAGATGGCTCTGGCTGCTCATGCAGCCGCCCCGGAGCCTCGAGGTTTCAGAGGCTCCTGCAGGATTCGGCTCCTCCCCAGTCCCGCTCCGCTGAGACCGCAGCGGGGCAGGATCCTCCCGCGGTCGTGTCATGAGCCCTGCCAAGGGCTTCCCCATCTCCGGCTCTGGGTCTTGCAGCGTTACCAAACGCTTGTTCTGCGTTCGCATGGAGACCTGAGGTACTTCAAAGCAAAGCTGTTAGTGCCCACCCATCTGAACTTCATATACATCAGGTTTTAAAGGAGTTTGCTTGTCCTCATGCCTGTTCCTAGTGACCAGCTTGCGTTTGAAAGCTTAAATAGGGTTAACGGTAGGCTCAAATCCTCTGTAGGCAAATTATGGAGCTTGGAAGCACCAGAAGTCCAGAGACATTTTGCATCTGATCTCTGTCACAAGATGCTGAATATTCTGTTATTTGGGTGTATACATATCAAAAAAGCATAGTATTTTCTCACTGTTTCTCTAAGTTGCTTTTCTGTCTGCAGGGCTTCATCTGCTAAAGTGGTTCTAGACTGTAACTCCAGAGTGTTTCATAAGACCTCCTCCATTTCAGATTGAGAGGTGCTGCTGATGAGAAGTAGCCGCTCTCCTGCCATTCTTGCAGCAGCAGAGCTGAGCGCTGCCAGGTCTGATGAGTGCTGGGCAGCACAGGCTGTTGCAGCGTCACAGATACATCACTGCAGTGCTGACAAGCTCTCTGCAGCGGTAGACACGTTGCAAGACTTCTTCAGGAGGGACTGTGGAAGACAGCAGCATCACGTTTTAAATTTTCACTCAAAGGCTGAGGGAGTCTTCCCTTTTTTTTTTTTTTTGCTTTTAACAAACACACACCATTTTCTACTGCAGGTCATAGAGAGAAAGATGTTCCTCAAGCAAGTTCTTCTGCATACTCACATGATTTGTAGAAAGACTGCTTCCTTTCCAACCATTTAGGGATAAAATCTTCTCAGGAGCTGTGTGAACTTTCTCTGTAATTCTGATGACAGTGGTATGGGAGTCTGCAGACGTGTGTGTCCTGGATGTGGTATAAAAACTCCTCTTTGGGTATTTCAAATATTCCTTGTAGTGGAAAACAAAGCCTCAAGCAAGGGTGGCCAAAATACCCAAGCTTGAATTTGGTCAGATGAAATAACATACTTATTGTCTCTGTTTTCATTGGAGGTGATATTGGGAGGTTTGAAGCATGGGTCTACTGTTGAATTAAGAGTTCAGTGTCTTGCCTGACTCAGGGGACTTGGTCACGTTTTCCTACTCATATAATATTCCAGTGTGCCAACTTGGGATCATGTTTCCTTTTAAGTATGAGGAAATACTGGAAGGAAAGCCCTCATATATGCTTTCATATAAGCTGCAATGCTTTTGAAACCCTTATGCATGGCTTTCTATACCAATTGCCAGTTACTCTGAAGGTAGGTGGATTTTTTTCTCCCATAGATTTAAATTAGTAACTGAAAGTAGTAATTGCATATAAGGGTGAATAGAGGGCAGTGGTATAGAGAAAAACAACGTTACTGCTGAGCAGAGACCCGAAAGCTTTCAGGCTGTGCATGCAGCCGTTTGTGTTTCTGGGTTTTCTGCCCCTACTGCAGCCTTTGTAAGGAGGCCTTGGGAAGTGCAGGCTGCTCTAGTGCAGTAGCAGGTTATCTAAGCACATTTTGAAAAATGGATAGCTGTATCTTTTCTTCAGGTGGTTAGCTAGTTATGTAATAGGGAAAAACGAGCATCCAATTACAACGTTGGATAGTTGATCCTCTTCCAAAAGGTGCAGGCATCTTCATGTGCAGTTAGACTTGCATTTTTCTAAGGCCCCTAGAGATCAATTTTGAAGGTCACGTATTCCTCCTCTCCTTTTTACTGCATATAAAACTATTGGAGTGAATAAGAGATGCTCATCCGGAACTGCGCAAGTGCTATAGTGATGCAGGGGGCAGAAGCTGATTTCACATCCCTTTCTGTGGTGAAGCGGTTGCTGCTGCTTTCACAAGCCTCGATTATATGATCTTTGGCTCTGTGAATCTTATTAGCTAGTCTGTAATCCTGGGATCTGGTTCCCCAGCTGTCAGTGCCCCTGCCCCTTCTCTGCCCCTTTGTTTTTAACACTGGAAACCTCTGAGATTCTTGGTTTAGTAGCTGCGAAATGTATTTCCAAACTT